GCCCTGCTCCAGGCTGTTGAAGACCACCGCGGACTCGTCCAGCCGGGGGTTGAAATGCAGGGCTGCGTCTGCGCCCTGCTCCTCGCTGCACAGCAGGTTTACGTGGAACCTGGAAGCGCGGGGCGGTGGCCGTCGGCGCTCAGGAACCACCCAGACCAAAGTCAAGGGCAAATGGACGGGGACTCCCCATTGCCAGATCACCCCTTTATTGACAGGGACCCGAACACGCCACGCACCGCAGAAGGAAGTGTCGTGCACTAATGGCCACGGTGCCCAGGTTCCCAGGGAACCCTCAGCTCCCAGAGGATGGGGGCCAATAGCAGGGACCCCAATATTTTCAGAGGACCCTCTAATTTGAGAAGGCCCCAAGGTCCCCCAGAGTATTGATTGGCAAGGCCTCCCAGTGTCAGGGGTGTCTCCAGGACTCGGGCACATTTCCACAGTGCCGGGGACTCGGGGAAGTCACAGGACTCTTATCTAGGAACCTGGGATGCCCTGGAACCCCGTACTCTTAGGGAGTCTTGGGGGCCTGAGGCACACGGGCATGGGGCAGCTAAGCGAACCCATCAGGTGTCAGAGGGTCAGGATTGGCCTGGGGATTCCAAGACTGGTGGCAGAGATGGCCCCAAGTCCCCCATGTCTGGCTGCAAGAACTGGGGTCAGCTCAGTCTGGGGTCCTCCCCTCTCAGCTCTGGGGCCTGGGGTCTCACCTGCCAGCCTTGTCAGGGACGAAACCTCGAAGTCTGAGCACCGTGCCTGGGCGGAGGCCCTCGGGCAGCGAGGTCTTGTTCTGCAAGAGTGGGGTGTGGGGGCATCGTGAGACAGGGAGACAGAAGACGGGTCACCCTGGGAGGAACCGACCAGGACCGACACCAGCAAAAACAGTGTCAGAGAAGAGGGTCACAGGAAGGAGAGAGGGAGACAGAGACAGGGAAAGAGATGGGCAGAGCAAGAGAAAAAAAGAAAAATGTTGAGAGACCAAGAACAAAGAGGGAGATGGGGACCAGCGGGATGGGGTGTGTCACCCCCGACGCCTCAGCCCGGCACAACCCACAGCACACCCACTGCCCACTTTCTCCGTTGACGTGGCAGCCCTCTGCCAGGCCCCGGCCCCCTGCCCATGAGGCCCAGCCTGGGCTCTGGAGCACGCACGGAGCTTACCGACATGGCGGGGACCGGGAAAGGCAAGAGTGCTGGTGGTGAGAGTGCGGGGGACCTTAATAAGGCAGACGGGACTGATGAGTCACCACCCCTCCCACCGCCACCCACACCTGGCACAGACCCGGGCCCTGGGCGAGGCTGGCTAGGCTGGTGCGGCAGCCTCTTCCTGGGGCCCCGGCCCCCCACTCACAGAGGGTCCCAGGTGCCCTGCCCCTCTCCTGTGAGCCCACAATTACAGGGACAGTTGATAGCAACCATGATAGTACGAACACGAGGGGAGGCTGGGTGCGCTCCGCCCAGCCTGGCACAGAGTTAAAGCCGCTTCTGCTCGCCTCGCACAGAGACGTGCTGGGTCCTGAGAGGCCGAGCTGGGCCTGGAACTCCAGAGCCTCCTGTCCCAGCCCAGAGCCTCCTGCCCAGGGCTGAGGGTGTCTCTGCGCCAGTCCCGGCGTGGGCCCCTGTGCTAGGCCATAGCCACAGCCCCAGCAGTGCGGACAGGGCAGCTGCAGGGGGCAGGGCTGCTGCCCGGCTTGTTGGCCGCTGCATCCCGGGCCCTGGGTGTGCCCGGCACGTGGCAGGGCCTCAGCAAACAGGGCTGAAAGGCAGGGACAGACTGTGACAATGGGGGCCCTTTCCTGAGCCCCTGGCTGCCTAGGACGTGGGAGAAATCCCTGAGTGCTCCGCGCAGTTCCACGAGGGAGCAGCGGTGACCACCGCGTCGTGCAGGAGGAAGCTGAGGCCTGAAAGGGAAGCGATTTGCCCAGAGGGACAAGCTGTGCAGCACGTGTGCGTCTCTGGCTTCGCTTTTCTCTAGAAGCTTCTCTCCTGTTCATTCTGTCTTGGGAATCTCAGTCTCTCCCCATCCCCGACTGCCTACCCCCAGCCCGCCTCTAACTCTGCCCACCATGTTTTCCTGCCCCATTTCTCTCCTTTAAGTCTCTCTTGTTCCTTCTTCCAAAACTGCCACCCTCCTCCCAGCAACTTGCAGGTCTGCAGGTCAGGTTGACGGGGACCTTGGGGTGGGGGTGTCCTAGCACCTCATCACCACCCAGACCAAAAATGAACAGAGTGTAGATCCTCCCTCCAGCTCCATTACTGCCTCCTTGGGCCCAAGGCTCTGGAAGAGTCTTGGGTTGGGGAAGTGGAGTTGGGGGATGGGGGTCAGGGCAGAAAGACATTTCTGGAAGGCAGGGATGGTGCGGGAGCTGAGCAGCCTCCTGGACCTTTTCCAGCCCCACCCTCACTGCCCCACCCAGCCCCACCCAGCAGGTGGCAGCCAGGCCAGGGCTGATGTAGGCTGGCCATGGAAAGTTTGGGTGGAGGTGACCAGACTCAGAACCTCATCCTCGCCCCTCCCCAGCGCCGGGCCTCCCGGACTCTCTCGCTCTCCCACATGCCCCTGCACCGGAGCTGGGGGTCCCCTGCAGGGAGCAAGAGCTCAGAGAGGGAAGCTGGGTCGCTGCATTTGGCGCGGACTGGGAACACCCCCATTTTGCAGAGGAGAAAACCAAGGCTTAGACGGGAGCAGCCTCTGAGCCAAGGCCACACTGCAGGGAAGGGGCAGGCCCTGGGCTCCAGCTGGGGTCTCTGTGCCAAGGGCACCTCACAGGCGCTGAGAGAGAGGACAGCAGGGTTACAGGTCATGACCCCAGCAGCCCGGAGCAGTTGGCTCCCGGGAACTGGCCACTGCGTCATCCTGACACTCTTCTCCGTCACCAAGAACACGCTCCTTACAGTTCCTGACGCCCCATCTGTATCTTGCCACTGTGTCTCAGTGACTCATGTTCGTGTGTATTTCTCGGTGTGTTTGGATGTGACTTCACAGGCGCTCCGCCTGCCAGTCCCAGCCTGCCTGTGGCGAGTGGCCAGCAGTCTGCATTCACTCTGTTACCGGCCCGGACGCCTGGGTCCTTCCCAGAACTGCGCTGCGCCGCAGCCGTGAGGGCTTCTTATTCATTCATGTTGATTATCTTTCTTATCCGTTGTGAAATAATATTTCTGTGAGCCTGTTTTCAGTTGTAGATAACGAGCATAGTTATTTCCCAATAGTCTTTTTATCCAGGTTTCTTCTTGTAAAAGAAAAAGTGCGATTTTAACAGAATTGTTGATCCAGTTTTGAGAAATGCAGAAACCTGGGTGACCCCCCTCCTCAATCCAGTCTCCTGGCGCCCCTGGACCAGCCACCCTCCTCCTGCCCCAGGAAGACACTGTCACTCCTGCCTGTTCAGTAGCCACCAAGGTTCAATTGCTCTGAAAATGAAGAAGAGGGTGGGGGCAGACTGATGTTTCGACTTTAGGCCTTTTCTGGGAAATAATTCAGGTGAAAAGTAACTATTTGCACACAAGGTGTTTGTAGCGATTTAAAACCTCAGGGTCTGTGTCATTTTGTTGGTGACGTTTTCCTTATATTTAGGAGGCAGTGAAGATAATTCAGGGACTACTTTGGTTTCAGAAATTAACATTGCAGTGAGGAAAATGGCACATTTAAAAATCTGAGTTTTTTTCTTAA